GCCTACCGCGCATCTAATTTGCCTGGTAGGTCGCCGCATATGCGATGATTGTCAGCCCATGTTTCACGATAACTCGGATACAGTAACCATGCAGATCGGGAGATGTTCTCCAAGACTCCCTGCAGAAACCTTGCGGTGAAATACGATAAACCTTAATCTGACCACCAGCTCCTTGCAACCGTCATGTTCGACGTTGATGCCACAATGGGTAGTTGGATACACAGTTTGAGTGACTATGATCGAGTGGAGGACCCAGATCAGCTCTACAAGTAGCAAGAACTCCTTTACCTAGAGATGCCCTACTGCACTCAAGAAACCTGTCAGAGTTGTCAATTAATACGGAAGTCGCCTTTACTAGTGCTGTCGTGTTTTAGATGAGTAGTTGCGCTAGCCTGCAGGAATGGTTGAAGTCTAGATACGTCCGCCGGCACAAGCGAAATGACAGAAAAGAGCGTAGCGGATGGAGCCGCCTGCGTCAGCCCTCTCGTTCGACATCAACTTGCGATAGGGTTTTGGTGCAGCTTAGTATGGGACGATTCCTTAGCGGAACATTTCACCTCCGCCAGTCAGGCGATTCGGCTGGAGACTTCCGATGGGTGTTCTTGTGGCCCCCGCTCTTTGAGTGTGCCGTTCTTCCGTGACAGACTCCCACACATGCATTGGGTGAATTTTAGTAGGACCCATAATTTGTGAACCAATCTCGTGCCTAGGTTGGGCACCTTCGACGCCAAGTATTTTTTGGGTGACCTAATACCTCAATTCTCCTCGATTGGTCACGCGGTTGGTAACTACGCATTTGCACGCCTGATTTTGCTGGACTTCTATCGGTACTCACCTCGTTCGTGACAGGCAAATGGACCCACCTGTTGTCTTGGCACGGTCACGTACCTCGGATCTGAGCGCGGGTCAATGTTCACACGGACGCTATGGAGTCGTTACACTCGGCCGCGCGATCGATCATGCATCTAGTCTTGGCGTCTGGATCTTCGTTTGGCGCTTATCACGCCTGGCGGAGATGTCTACTGCTTTCGATGATCTTGATATGTCACTGCAGTCGAGCCTACAACACCGTCTCTTCTGAAGACGGATTCTCCGTATGGCCAATCAACCCAAAAGACGAGCACACTCTTCGTGCCCTCAAATTACGCAATGGAAGCCACCACTGCGCTCACGCACTCAAGAAAGCAAAACGAGATGCAACAACTACTCTCAGTCGAACAGCACAAAAAGCTGATTCAGGTGCAATCCCAGTCGCACCGACTGCACGGACTTTTCGACGACATATTACTGCAGCATGCTGCTTGCTCCTCGGAAGCTAGCGATTGGCGGCTGGGAAACAACTCGCTCAATGAGAGGCGCTTTATTGGTCCGGACACTACCCAGACATCAGCCATCGGACCCCAAGAAGCCCTCTGCAGCGGCAGCTCGAAGACCGATACTTCCGGTATTTCAAATGTCACGGGACCCTCATTCATCCTTCGAGCATGCAGCGCCTCGGACGAAATTAACGAGCGATCTGATCCAGCCTCTATTCCGCGGTCATTTTTATTCCAGGAGCCGAAATGTTACAGATGTGCTGTCTCCAGCGGAGACTTAGCCAAGACTAACGTCGATGATTCTGCTGACAAGATGACTGGTCGCGCCTCTGGCAATGCACGCGGTAGTGCTATAATCTCAGATAGTCATGAGGCTATGCCTGACAGAAGTGCGAACACCTCGCGAAACCATCGACTATCAAGTTTTGAAAAACTTCCGCGAGGTCAGTGCTGGCCGTTTCGAGGCTGGTGCGGCGGCTGACAATCTGCAGAACTGCGCGAATATATCTATCGCTATCTATGTCAGGACTCGATTTTCGTCAGGAGAACAGCTGGCCTCGCTCCATCTATTCTGCGGGGACACCGCATCTTTTCTCTCGGGTTCGCAAACCGAATGTTCTACAAAGACTTCTTCAGTTTTTTTCTAGGGCAGCAGACATTTCACGTTCCCATTGATCAGGTCGGTGCTTTTGTGGATTGTTTCTGGGGCAAGCAGTCCCAGTCCCACTCAGCTAATGGACACATAATTCTTACACAGCCGACATGCTCTCTGATAAACCCCTCTCGAGCTGCTGAGTTCCAGCTCGACATCACTGCTCTACTTCGCTTAGCCTTGGATCCAACGACAAACTTCACCGTTGGCACCGCTGCTTGGGCTAGATTCTCCGGTACAGTCAATCATTTGCGCACTAAGCTCCAAGGCTTCAAAGACTCAATGCTCAACCCAAAATTTCGCCAGATACTCTGGAATGCCCTTTCCCCAAACCCAGAAGACCCTAGCTCCGCTCGATTGCGTCGAGTTCTCCTCGTCGTCCGTGACGCCACATCGAGATTGGAACACCCTTGGAAGTGCCAGGAGATGGGCATTGCGTTTGTGTGTGGTCGAATGCCAGATCACATTCCCGAGTTGGATGAGTGGGATAACCTCCGCTACAGTCTCAGCTGTGCGGGATTGCGTTTCTGGTCGTTTCCCCTCGGACAGCACACACTTGGTGTTGAGGAGACGCTGGCTGCGGTCACGACTGATTCTAATTTGGATGGCAGCTTCCTTGGCCTCGCGGAGGTACAGGGAGAATTTATGCTGCTGTAGCCAATTGATTCTGTCGACTGAGGGACGGGCCAGGTCTGAACATCTGGGCCGGTTTCGGTAGAAGAACTAGCATACGCTCAACCATGGAGTACCAATAGACATGGGCACGGGTACAACAGAAGCCAAACGACATAGAAAACAGTGTAGCAAACGATCCAACAGATCACAGATGATAAGGGCAGTTGCTTGTCTCTTAAGCTTTGGTTCTGTTTGCCCTTATATGTTCTAAACAATTCTCGAATTCGACCTTTGTCAGCGTTGTACAACTAACATTGATGTTGTCCAACTGTACGATACTATGAGATGATCATTCGTGTAGCATCACAAACATCGTAATGTATGCTGGAATCTTGACGCCAGAGGTTGGAGGTGCAATAGAAGAGATCTGGACGAGTCTAACTGCGGCAAGACACTAGTTCTTGGTACTTGTACTGTCCCAAAAACAACATTAGTAGCTCACTAAAATGTGGTAGGACTGCTTCGAGAGACGTCGAACAGGTTGTTCGCTGTGGTCCGCAATGCAGCTTGATTCTGGACTTTCACGAAGGGGGCCCCTTTTGCGCACGACGCACGTCATTGGCTTGCGGAAGGACATGACCATGGAATGACACACGAATTCTTGGCAATGCTAAAGCGAAGTCTTTGTTTGCCTGGTCTATAGAACCGTCGCTTGCAGTGTCGCAGATCGACAGAACTTCGATACTGGGTACTCCCCACTTCAGACTGAGCTGTAACCTCACCATTCAGGTAATTCTTATCGAATCCCGGCTCGAGCCACTCGCAATGATGGGTTCCAGTTCGCATTAGCTACTCTGTGTCTAACGGATTCAGTCACTAGACATAACGCCTTGAACGATATCAGCCAGCTTTTACGTCATCCCGTTCGTCTGCACGACGGCCTTCGACGGATTTCCGGCATTTCGGCTAGTCACACCTGGCACAGTCTGTGATACGAAAAGTCCATACCTGCAAAATGCTTGCCTTATTCACAACTGGTATCCTTCTCACATGCGCGCTGCATTGTGCCTTCTCTGGACACGCGAGTCTTATATGGCAAAAGTCCCATAAGCGAGGGCAAAGTAGGCGACGATGTCGGCTACTTGTGGAGGAGAGCAACGAATTGAGAGAGCAGGGAAAGCCAAGGGCTTGGTCACCTCGTGGAGGATTCCTTGAGATCTGCATTAATGTCAGTATAGAGCGAGTGTGCAGTACTAAGCATAGAAGCAGTTTGTAGCAGCCTTTGAAACCTCATTCTAGAATAGCAGAGCCATCTTCTTCGATACATCAGCCTTCAAGAACCACTGCTACTACCGACGAAGACAGCGTTACCGTTCGCCAGCTCGCGTTCAAACGGATATTACTCTTCTTGGCTTTACCGTTTCGCGTCCGAATAGTAGAAGATCTAGCGTGTGGTTATGGGCATTACAGGGTAAATGCGGCGACAGGTCCTTTGCCTTGCGAGCTACAAGCGACTTGCAGTGGGTGCATCGCTTGAGTACTCCCTTGGTCGCTCTTTGAGTAGCGACTGATGCTACTGACTCATCATTTCTCTGACATCATATCCAACCGTCATCTCCTCCTCGCGCAATGGGAGATGTATTCTGTCGACTTCGTCCTTCAGCATTTTGCAAAAATCATGTCTCCAGTACATCTGGAACTGCACTACGTGTGCTTTTTGTAAACACATATATCATTGCGTAGCATCTAGTTACGAGAGGTAGCGCCGGTCGTTTCAATGACACGTACTCCAACACTGCAAGCATCTGGCAACTACCATTGAACCCTCAACCAGGACAACGAAAACGGATGGGTTCAAACGTCTTGAGTTTGTCATCTCTCTTGAAATCATTGACAGAACAACTGGCGCGGCACTTGTAGAGCCATCCCCTTGCAGACTGAAAGATTTACTTACACATTGCCCGTCGTCTGAGTATAACGAGATCAGAAAAGCATATCCATCGTTGACACGGACTTTCAACGAGCACCCACGACAGCGATGCGCACTTTATTCATCTCCGATCGAAAGCCTTCTTCGGATCCTGAGGCCGTACAACGAACTCGAAGCATAATTGGCGCTACGGTATGTAGATCCCTCGTGCTGACTGACGAAGCTAATATTGTCAGGAGCACAGAGCGCAGGTCCTGAAAAGTTGCAATACTTCCCATCCGGTCATGTTTTTCGTCGTCGACGAATGTGTTCGCTGACGCCCCACAAGCGTTACGTCATAATCGCATCTATAACACAAAATTTCTCATGATAGCAATTTGCTTAGACAAGACTTGGCCTGCGCAGGCCCAACGGTCGAAGGAGGAGCTGCATGTCTGTAAATATAGTTGCCCGAGGCAGAGTAGTTTCCATTAATCAGATCACATCTGGCCTAATGGCCCAATGGCAAGGCGCTTGACTACGATCAGTTCGAAATCAAGAGATTCCAGGTTGTAAGTACTACCACGCACCACACTACCCGGTGTTCGAATTCTAACAGTGCAATAGCGACCCCTGGTTAGGTCACAACACGACGATACTTTTTTTGTGCGAAACGTTGTCTTTTTTTCATGCCATCGTCCGTGCGCAGTGGGTCTTGCCGAGTTACTCCCTCAACACCAGGACTGGAGTTGTGCTTTCTCATCTCTTTTTACGTCTTTATATGGTATAAGCTCGCGTTTGTCGCAACTCTTGAGCAGGGAATGGTATGTCTGTGATCTTCCCACAGATACAGATGTGGCGATACCATCCTCGAAAAACTTGAAAAAACTTGCAAGACTACTGCATTTCAAACGCAGTTTCTACAGATACCAATAAAGAAGGACCTTTTACGTCTGATTTCAGGAGTTAGGAAAAGGTCTCGCATAATCAAAGTATGCCGTCTTCCAGCTCGACAGTGGCAATGGAGGCAGACCATAGCAAGATTATTGACAGCACTAAATTGGTTCGATTTGGGCTCGGACTGAGATGGTAAGGATTAGACCCCGATGCAGAGTATAAGCTGACTTTCTTTTCCACTGGTGTTCTTTCCTATACTACAGCTCGCTTCAGAGACACTGCTTGCCATTTCGGCTGAACTGTAGACGCGTTCTCCAGACCATGTAACTCTCAATGCTGGCCTACAAGGTACTGCGCCTGACCAGACCTGTCGCCGATGTTATCCATGTGTATCAGTTTGGTTGCTTGTGTTTGCAACAATGATAACAGATAGCCGAACGCCCTCCGACCCCTTAGCTTTTGAGTTTGTATCTTGGTACCACTCGTGACTGTTGCAAAGGCAACACATTCAAGACGAGGAGGCAACCACACGAGGTTGACTTTCCTTTTTTTATGACTGATGGCGGTTAGTATAGCACGAATGATGGTTCGATTACGTTGCACTCACGTTGACACGATCGGAGTAAGGCGGGACAGTCATGATCAGTACACAGAAATTGTAAGCCCAGTCTATCTGAGCTTGATTTCCATACTGTAATGCAGGGTGCTGTCAGTCACCACTCTGACAAGTGAGATGCATGAAAACTTACGGCGAGAAAAGCGAACTGAAATTCTTTGGTGTCCTGGACCGGTCCGTTCAGCCATTCGACTTCGACCTCTTCTTCGGGGAAGTCATCGAAAGGCTCCATAATATCATAGCCATCACTTCCGCCCATATCACTCGTGACTGGTCCAGTGAGTTTCCTACCAATACGGTCGTCCTAGGAGAAGTCATCTTCGATATCCTGGGTTCGCCAATGTCCTCGATAGTCAAGTGCTGGCCGAACTTGCACCTGGATACCAAGCGACTGGAAGATCTCGTACGTCACCATGTCGGATCCCTTCAGAACAGCTGGCAGCTTTCGGATACCCTCATTTGTAGCATGCGCGTACGCGTGACTGCAGTACTTGCCAAGTACACCTCCTGCATACAGGTTAGTGTATATGAACGTTAAAGTGATGGAGCACATACCGTCTGGGAAGAAGAGAGGATTAGCAAGAGCGGCGTGGACCTGTTTGTAGACTGGTAGCTGTGTCACATCAAGTGTAGGGCTACTACCCGCAATCTCTCCAAGACCACGACGTAGGAAGAGATTGTACGTGAGAGTGATGCGATAGCCTGAGAAAACCTGAGAGACCTCATGCTCGCAATCGCCGTAGAAAGCGGCCCACTGGATGTTCTGGCTTTCACCGGACCAGTCGAAGACAGTTGAGTGACCTTAGTGACGGATGATGAGCTGTCCACCCTCGTGAAGGCTGGGAAGACATATGGCGAGGGATCCGAAATGGACATCGGAACGTGGCGTGTCAAGGTGGGGCTTGAACAGTCCAGAAGGACCTTCGTAGACCTACACTCGTTTGTTACAGCAAGCAAGGAGGAGCGAATGGTTCTCACTTACGTTGAGCTTGTACAACTCCGCTCGAATACCCTGGAAGTTGCGGTTGGGTAGTGGAAGCAGCGTCTGACCGATAGTGTCAATGATTCCCACTGCATAGGGGCAGAAATCGACAGAGAACGCGGACGGCTCGAGCTTGGTCGCCTTCCTGTACGATTCGTCAATGATATCTTCACCGTTATAGCCAAAACTGGCAGGTTGAGTGGCAGTGATGAGCTTCAGGAGCGGCTCATTGCTTGCGGTGCTGTCTGTTGACAAAGGCAACTGTAGCTTCTCCACTCCATCGCTGGAATCCCAACGGATAGTGACTGGCGACGCGATACTTTCCTCATGTGCGTTGGTAACTTCTTTGATGAGAACAGAGCCCCCACAGGCGTAAGCTGATTGTGTGAGTAAAGGGGCCAGCTCCTGGACGACGGAAGATTCAGACATGATCTGGGAAGATTTTCGGGTGCTTGATCATAAGAAAGAAGGAGAAGAAGGAGAAGTGGAAAGTTCTTATATGGCAGATTTTGAAGAGTGCTTGGCGAACCTTCACGTCCGTTTGTGTGGCCCCCCAATCGGGCTGCTGGTGGGTCTTTACCAGGCAGCAACAGCGCACATGTTACACCTTCACTTTCTTTAACACAAACAATGGGATACCTAGAGATTTCGAAGCAATAGATCTCGAGAGGATAGCCGTTGATTGATGTGTTTAGCGATGTGTGTCACATTTGATCACTGTTTAACATGACGCTATCATATACAACTCTGAACCCTGCCCCTTCGCTGTGCCCCTAAATCTAGAAATTTGCTTGTACAGTGGGTTAGTACCCAATCCAGGATTGCTTAGCTTCAGCTGCCCATTCAGCTACAATCATGCCATGGTGAAAGGTCACCAATGCTTCTGCCTACACCTTGTATTACTACCATGAGTCTGCATGGTTGAATCCAGATGAACGACATCGCCCTCAATCTTTAATCTCCATTGAGTCTCCAAGTACTCGAACGCCGCTCGTATCTCTTTCAGAGTAAATTCCTTTCCTTCCAACATCCACTCATTCAACACTTCGACGCAATTCTCAAGCATCTCTGCACCGCCCTTGAACAAAGTCTTCTCGAGGTTGAGGGCACTGTAAAACTTCATGTCAAACTCTCGGTACCTCTTTTCACCAATTTTACCGAGGGGTGATACATGCTGTAATGTATCAGCCCGATAGAGGTCTTGGATGAGTTGTTGAACAGGAGAAGCATGATTTGCTCCAGTACGTGGCTGCAGCTTTGGGGTGCCTGCCCCTAAGTCTTGATCAAGATGACACACCAATTCATCCTGAGTGGCAAGTTCTCTCTGTCTAGCGAGAATTTGAAGTCGGGACTCACTCTCTTCTTCGGTGACATCGGTGAAAGGCGAACGACCGAGCGGACTGTCTTGCGCTCCTGGATTTGAGACCCGGAGCATATTCGAAAGTACAGCGTCGCAATCGTTTTTGGTGAGATCAATGATATCGCTCGCTGGTGTCAATCTTGCTGTGCGGCCGATGAGAGCGGTCTGCATCTGGCCGGTTTGACAAGTGGGTGAAGAGATGTAAGAAGAGCTGAAGTCGTTTGCTCGAAGCGTTGCAGGGGAGAGACACGGAGACAACGTCGCGGTGAGCCGTGGTATGCGAGCTTGGTAGTTAGACAAAACATCGTCGATTTTGACACAAGACGCTTGCAGAGGTCGTTTCCTTTTCGCAGCTGCGATTCCAGGGAGTTGGGATGGGGAGTAAGGGTCGTTTCGCGCTTCATTCAATACTGACATAAGGTTCATCCTCGTACCGTATACATAAGGTCTTGATGATAGCGTAGAAACGGGGCTTGAAGATCGACCCTGTTCCTTGCAAACTGCTACATCGTCGAATACCTGGATGGAGTCCTTGGTCTTAGTGGGTGTGCTACATTGTGGTGATTGTTCTGTGAAGCAATCCGCAAGAGACTTGTCATCTAAGCTATCAACATCCTCAACGATTGTCCTTGTAGTCTGCTTGGTGCGCTTGAGTCGCTTCTTGTGCCACGATGAGGCTTCAGGGGTGTGATCGTTGTCGTCGTTGTCGGACACGAAAGAGTATGGGTTGGCTGAGGTGCCATCACCTTGCGATGGCTTCGATCTCGCCCGGGGACGAACAGGCGGTTGTGGCAGCGCGCCGGGCAAAGACAAACTACGTGGAACCTCTAAGGCAGCGTTGTCCTAGTATGGTTAATTGTGTGTATTGTTTCTGAAAAGAGTCAAACATACTGAGGGTGACATCGTAGTGATTTGGACGAGCTGAGATTACTGGAAAATACGATGCAAGACGGAGAACTAGTAAATCGAGGGGGTTTCTTCCCCCATCGAATGTGCGCCAAGGCAGTAGCGCTCGTGTGTCCAGGTGAAGATGAGCACTGGATCCACGAATCCAAGGTGAAGGGACTTCAGTCACGCACTTAGCACGCAGACGCTTGTAGAAGGTCATGATGCAGTGGGAACGCACTATATGTATACAGACGATCGTAAAATTCGATAGATCTGCAGGGGAACAGATATTTCATTGATAACGTATGGAATTGCCATGAACCAGTCGGGAGCAGACCTCCTGAGTGTCAAACTTTGATTGTAAGAAGGACTGGACACATGAAGTCCGTCTAGAGACCTATCGACATCTGGAGACCATGTCTATTTCTTGCTGAGTGACTGCGACCTGTTCGAACAGGATGAAGTACCGAACTTGAAGCAATGTTCATGATGGGACACTTTCGATGTTGTATTAGCAGGTTCCTATAGGCGCCATGTTTTGGATGAATGGACTCCATGTCGATGTCCTCGGACTACTCAGACATTCAGCCACAGTTTTTGGTTGTTTCTGACTGTGTGACCGATACGACAGTTGTCGATTGAATCTGTGATGGTGACCTCGTTACTGTCTCTTTTGGAATGCGATGGTGGCGGCGTTTGGAGAAATACTTACCATGATGGACTTCAATGAAATGGACAAAGAGTAAAACAATAGTCCACACCTTATCGTTCGCCAGGGTGAGTTCGACGACGATAACGCATGTTCACAGTGGCGCAGGAGATTGGAGGAAACGTCTTCACATCACTGTCAAATGACGTGAAGATTTGTACTGTTACACTCGGAATGATCATGCGACATCAAA